TATCTATTACTGAATCAGCCTATGATTTTTTTTTTTAATGAGTTACCCTATAACTCTCTTAGATCTAGTTAAAAATTAAACATAGCAGAAGTCAATAACTTCAACACCTGGGATCCAAAAAACACAGCTGTGCCCAAGAATTCTGATACGCTCAGTGAAAACTTTCTTTTTTTCTTTCAAGAGAAGATGGCCATGTTATATCATACAATCGAAAATTGTTTACTAGGCAACACTGGGTAAGTGCTGTTTTGAGAAGTAAAAAATTCTAATCTCTTTGTGAACATGGAATTTCTTATGCAGTTCTCTGGATATAATTAAAATATATTTATATATTTTCATACTGTATAAGTTACATCAGTCTTTAATTATTAACAATATAGAAAAGTAGCAGGCACTTCCTTAAACACAAAATTAAAGGATACAGCATTTGACTGTTAAAAGATGCAATTTTTAATATTTCTTTGACAAAAAACATGTTTCAAATGTCTTCATAACAGCTTTCCATTTTATGGTCTCCCAAGTAGAGATAATATCTAACAGAAAAATGTTTGTTATCAGATGAAAGAATGGGTGACTTTAAAAAACAAGAGGCTATTGGAATTAGAAGGACATGATTTAAAATTTGGATGGCTCCAGAAATTCCTTTGTGGTTGTCACCCTAAGAAGCTTTTTACAGAAGAGAAAGGACACTTAAGCAACCTTGGTTAACGTATGTAACTCTGTTATCGTTTTCTGAAGGAGAACCTAACCTGAAGAAAAGAGAAGAACTAGAATTGGAAGGTTGTGTTTGCCAAAAATTAAACATAGCAGAAGTCAATAACTTCAACACCTGGGATCCAAAAAACACAGCTGTGCCCAAGAATTCTGATACGCTCAGTGAAAACTTTCTTTGCAGAGTATGCAGAGTTGTCGGAGAGACTTAAATTAGATAAGTTATGAATTTATCACTGGGAAAACTGAGTTTGAATATGCCTTGTGTCCTAATGATGAACATCTTATTGCTAAAATGTACAAACTTTGTTAAAGATGAATTTGGAAGATGAATATGTTAAGGACTGTATGGTTAAATGGGCAAAGAACTTTGGATATAACATAATGCTGGATCAGTTGGAAAATATGTGGAATAAAGGTTTAAAGTTCATTCTTAACTATATGTTAAAAGACTATTTTTATAAAATGATGTACCGTTGGTATCTGACATCCGATAAATTGTCTAAGATGTATAAAGAAACTTCAAATGTTTGTTGGAAATGTAACCAGTGTGAAGGTATATTTTATCATTTATGGTGGACTTGTGAAAAAGCCAAGAAATATTGGAACACGATATGTAATTTGAATCAAAAGATTTTGAAAATGGATTTGCAATTGAAACTAGAGACCTAAACAAGTGGAAAGACAATATGGAAATTTATTTCTTTATATGATAACTGCAGCGAAACTTTTCTATCCACAAAAATGGAAGGATTTACAAATACCTACACCGGAAGAATGGATATTGAAACTAATGGAACTGGCAAAGAAGGTGAAATTGACTATTTTGCTTAAAGAGAAGACATTGTCTAGCTTTGTTCGTAATTGGAAACCACTCTTGGACTTTTTGCTTGATACTCAAAAATATGCAATTTTGAGTTTGAGATTTGATGACTGATGTACCTATAAAAATATCTTGTACAAATCATATGTATTGTTGAAATAGATTGATTCTATATTTTTTTTAATGCTAGATAAAAATTTACATAGGGGATGCGGTGGCGCAGCGGCTTAATGATGTTGAAAGTTGCCGGCCAGAAATGGTCGATGCTTCAGCGGTTCGAGTCCAGCCTTCGCGTTAACAGGGTGAGCTCCTATTTCCTCCCCAGTTCCTGTCAACACAGCAGTTCGAAAACTCATGTGAGTAAATGGGTACTCTCACTCCGGTGGGAGGAAAAATGCTGGCGGCGCCTTGCAAAAAGGAG